TGTAAATACGGATATAATTTTATTTCCATTATAAATCGTATAATTTTTACACATATTCTCTATATATAATTTTACATACCTACTATTTTACAATTATTACTATTAAATATATTTTATATTTCACTATTATAAATTAGTAGGTATTATAGTGTAACAGCAGGTATTACATTATATTATGTAGTATATTATATTTATCCTTCATCATGTTACAGTTTTACTGTTTTACATTGTTATCATTAATTTACTGTCTACGTGCAATGTTTTCGATTATATTTTTGTTCTTTTACATATTGGATATATTTTATGCGTGTCATACTCGAACGATTGTATCAAGCGGAAATTCAGGGCGGTGAGCTCGCCGGTTCCGGCTGCTCGCAATGCTCAGGTCACCGTGAGATCCGGGCGGAGAATCGATGGAAGGATCAAAAGTAAGGGGAATGTCGGTCACTGGGCCTTACTTCTCTCGATGATGAGCATTCGGTGCCACGCTCGTGCTCCGGCTCGAGTATAAGTCGACTCGTGCTTAAGATACCTAGGAAGTGCACGATTCACTTAGCGGATGATTCCCCTACCTTTCCGTTATGTTCCTCTTTTCTACTGTAGTACTCATTCTCTAGCATTCCTCACTGTAGTACTCATTCTCTAGAATCTCTAGCATTTCACCGCCTATATGAATTCAACATCCAGACCGACACGTGCATACTGTGTTAAAGAATTTTTTCCCATGCCATTATTATAATGCATTCTCTTTCTTTCTATTTTTAACTGGATTCTATCACACACAACAAAACAAAATGCAAATAAAATGTGTTGCATTCAACGTCTATATGAGAACCGATATTCATTTTTAATAACGGCTTTTTTGAGCGACCTGGATTCTCCTTTAGTGGAAGTATCGCAGTAATGAATTCATAGTCACGAATAAAAATCTGTCTTCAATTTTTAATGATTGTTTTAAAAAATTTATTCAAAAATTATCTATTTATTCAAATGTATAAATTAACGCTAGAATAAAAAAAAATTATTGAAACTCTTTATTATATTAAACGTGATCTCTTGAGTTTTACATATTCTGTAGAAATAAATGTATCCTTGCTTCGAAAACATGTTCGATTTTTATAACATAGATTCTTTTTTTTTCTTTTCTTTTGTACATAGACAAATAGAAGTTTTGTATGTAATTTAGTGGGAAACAAATTTTTACGAAAATCATTCGGCCCCTTCATATTCGGCCTTCATTAAATAACAAGCATTTACTATAATTATACTCGCGCAATTTTAATCCTATTTTTATTATTTTTCGTAATTAATTTTATGATTTAATCACAATTATCAATATATATAGAAACTGGCAATCTACATTGTGAGAAAAAAGCGAAATATTGAGTAAGCAAATTTGATATTTTTTCTTCAATATTTACTAAAATGTAAAATATTTGGCTGTGATGACAAAATATATATTTATATGAAGCATATCTCAATTAATTGTAAAAGATAAAATAGATGATTTATTTGCTAAGAATAAAAGTTTATTTCGTTGTATTTAAATAAGGATTTATTTCAATAAAATAAACATTAGGTATATCGAACGAATAAATTTTTAAATATCTTTTTAAGTGTAGTATCGAGAATGTCGGACTCGTTAAAAATCAGTGACATTTAACGCGCTTGAAAGCACGAGAAAGAAGTGCAAAAGTACGTGTTTGCATTCCACCGCGCAGTTTTCACGCCGACGCGGCGCGGCGATTCAGCCTAAAGTACCGCGAGTACCGTAAAGGTGAATAAGCGGGTCGCGCGCGAGCATCGAATTCCTCGTCTACCAGAGTCAGCATCGTGTTAATTTTCAACATACTTGCGCCTTAATTACACCAACAATTTATTCAGCGAAATAAAAAAGTAATTAAAAATTATCAAGACTTCGAGAAACGTGCGTGTTGTCTTCGTGTCGACTGCATGGCAACAAGAAAGATATTGCATCTGGCTTGTAAAAGGTGTAACATATGAGCTAATATCTTTATATTTATAACACATTTAATACATTTAACAATTAAAATTCGTATTAGACTGACGAGAATAAGTCAATGAAGAAAAATAAACTTATTTTCGATCAAAGTGGAACTTAAGGGCTTAAATAACATCAAATTAACATCAAATTATTAATATCTCTCTAAGAGACGCTTATTGGCATCAAAAATTATTAAATTATTTATCAATTTAATATGTGACATTATTATTCTAGTTCTGTTTATAATAGTTTCAAAATCAAAGAAGTTTCGGTGCTCGATTTATAGAATCGGATATGTATATATAATATAAATTTATTCTGAAATACTTAAGTTTAAGATCGATCAGCCAAAAATAGGTTTATTTTTCTTAATTGACATTATCGTGTGAGTAAAATATTAAATTAATTTAATTTAAATTTAAAAAATATTTTTGTGTAAAATCATAACATTTTAATAACAATTAGAACGATAAAAGAGATGTTAATTAAAAAGATGTCAGATCAAGAATATTTTTATTAAACTAAAAATATCTCCTGTAAAAATATCTCCTGTAGCGATCTAAAAATACGTTCATTATTTTAAGACGTAAGTCTTAAAACGTTGTTTTTATAAAATTATCAAAGCGGATTTTATTTCTCAAATGTTCATAAAATTTTCGTATCGTTTTGTGAAGCAAGAATTTTGAAGAGTTCTACATAACAACATTTCTATTACAATCGAATTTAAAATCGCAGTTAAAATGTTATCTAAAAATTATATCCTCACTTTTTCTCTTCCTTTTGATTTCTCTTGCGACCGCGGTGATGAATTTCCCGAGGAGAAGTTTAATCGGATGTTGAAACAGCATCTTTTCCGATATTACAAGTGAGAATCTCGTCGCACAGTGCTCCTAGATAATTCATTCGCATCGATTAATCCGTCTCGTTTATTATTGACGTGGTCGCGTCGCGGTCAGGAGCGCGCATTTCCGGGCTTGTGCAACGGCAATTCAACTGACTAATAAGCGTCTAGTTATACGAAATTCGTAGTCGTTATCATTAAAGTGCGAATTTATTCCGGATAACAGTATAATTTATTTCGAATAAAATTTCGATATAAAACAACAATATAGACATGACAACTATTTCATAATATTAAAATGGATCAAGAAATTCGACAATAAAACGCCATATTCGGACAAGGTGAGTCTTATCTACAACGCTACTTCTTATTACTTTCTTTATTAGACTCTTCTTTTTTAAATGTAGATATCCGTTGCGATCGTTCAAGTTAGTTATGTTTCACTTATTTCTTGTTAATACAATTATTTAAATTTAAAAAAAATGAACCAAGAAATTCAACAACAAAAAAAGAATGAAGAAGGTATTCGGACAAAGTGAATTTTATCTAACGTTATTCGAACTTTTATAAGATTCTATATTTTTAAATGTAGGTATCTGTTGACGATTGTTCAAGGTAGTTATCTTTCATTTATTTCTTATTAATATAATTATTTAAATTAAAAATATTATAATTAAACCGATTATAATTAATCGATCGCAAAGACAAGGACGCGAGCAATCCTCAGGCTTGCGGTTAATTCTGTCCCAACATCTCCTCTCTTTCATTTCGCCGGAATTAATCCTCTTTTCATGAACGTGATCGATTTCGATCCCGACGTCGCGCGACGCGAGACGCGACGCGCCGTCGGTGATCGTGTCGTCAGTAGGGCCACAGAATTCTAGAAGGGGGTCATCATACGAGGCCGTCGAGCGGCGGGCCAACCGAGAGGCGAGAACCAGTATACCGGTGTCGTTCTGCGCGGACTGAACGGAAGGAGCGAGAGGCGTGCGTCGGAGGATCACACGAGAGAGCGACGTCGCTGTGCCGTTGTTCGTAAATAAACGTTACGCAGTCGTGACGCGTTGCCGCGCGGTGCTGTCGCACGGATTTTTCACGCGGAGTGCAACGCGAAGGTTTACATCAAAAGGATTGTGCACGGGAGTTCCGGCTCGCCGGCATCGTCCTCGGGAAACGGATACGACTACGATCGCGAGGTGAGTTTCGGCTTTTAGTGCGGGATAAATGAAGATAACCGCGAACGATTCTGAAAATTTTCTCGATTTTTAAACATTATTGCGCACATAAATTTTATTGCAATATTTTTGTGTGTATACGGATCTTTTAATGACATTTTTACGACATTTTCTATTTTATTTTGTAATGTCGTGTTTATGTCACATATTGATGATATTCAATGCAATTCTTTCAATGTATTTGTGTTTTACGTATACTACTTGTTATTTGTTTTTTTATTTTAAATTGATAAAAGTGAATAAATATGTTTTCTGTTATACGTAAAATTTACATTCACATTGACAGAATTATTGAGATAATAATTTTGTTGTTTATTGAAAGTTAGAAGAATTATTTGTGAAAAGTAAAAAAAATGAATTGACTGTTTGTTTATCGATAGTTCTATCAAATCACCGTTGTATTTTTTCTGAAAAAATACATACTGTTGGAACTAATCGATTGTTTGATATATTTAGTTAGATGACATAAACGAGTCAATTTTTCATTAAAAAGAAAAAAAAATTATAAAGCATCGGTAACTTTCTAGCAGAGATTTATTCCCAACACGGCGAAAAAATTCTTCTTTCTCATCACGAGACGCTCGCTGATTTATTTATGAGCGCGGAGAAATTCTTTTCCCTTCTAGAGAATACTTTCCAGGCCGCGATTAGAATGAGGCTTAAATGGATCCATATTCCACGAATAAGGGAAATATCGGAAAAACTTTATTCCTTTTCTATTTCCTTTTTCTAAATAGCTCGCGTTTAAATCGCGCTTCCGGAGTGAAGCCTCGATATTCAGTTTGCTGTACGTATAAAAGTTTACGTTTCAGTTTACATACTCATATTTCACGGAATGTACAGGAATACAAAACTGCGAGAGTTACTTGTTGTTTAAACAAATGAATAGTAAACTGCGCATTTTGATATTTATGAAAATAGCAGGACTGAAACAACGAGTTTTCCGTGGTCATATGTACTTCTAACTTTTTCAACGCTTAAATAGAAAGTGACGGATCCGAGATTTTTTTATAACCATTATCCGTTACCAGTACATCGTAATCAAACATTACTTCCTGCATTTTTGCGGTAAAACTCTTCATGTAAAGTATGCATATATATTACATGCATCACTACTTAAAAAATTCAGTTATTTATTACGGACTCTTGAAGCAAATTCTTCATGATTTCCTCGCAATATTACATGAATTACATTAATTTTTTAAAAATATATATAATTTAATAGAGTTTCACTTAACTCATGGAAAAAAATATTATACATTTAAGCGTTTTTTTGTCTCTGAAAAAAAGATGCATAAATTTTATTTTTATATATTATGTAATTTATCTGCATTCGCAGGATGTCATAAATTTTTTTGATAAATTTTTATACAAGTTGTTTTATTGTGTCAGCACAGAAAATAAAGATTTGTTAAAAATAAAGATTTGTAAAACAACTAAAAACTTCATTGATTTAGCAAATTTGTAGTCGTAATAATGGACAGCTTCAAATTTTCTATGATTTTATTAAAATAGCAAAGTTATAGAGCTAATAAAGTTAGCAATTGTAATTATATTTGTTGTAATAGGACAGTAAGTTTTTTAATACAATAAAGATAATTTTCTATAAAAATCAATTCTATAAAAATCAATAAATAGAATTTTTAACGAAACGTGCTAACTAAGATATCTCTTTTGCTGCTAATGAAGAAAATTTTAAAATTATACTAAGAATTTTCATTGTAGTAAAAAATTAGCTAAATTAGTATACTGATAATTACTTGCAGACATGATCTGTTTCTTATCTATCAAATCTTCTTAGTTATAAATGCTGAACTCTACTCGCATAGCAAGTTTTAACTTTGCTGGACTACCCAATCTATTTTTTCCATGCGAATCGACTAATTCTCCGTGTAATCCGTTCACGCGTATATACTTTCTAAAGCAGTGGAGGAATGCGATACTCGTGTAACTCGCACGTTTTCCCGGACCCTACCCGTTCACGCTCGCGTGTGCATTTGCAAGTTGCACCGCTAAGAATTTTCAAATAGAGTACGTCGTCGGGTAGCGGAATCTTCGCCTCGAATCACGACAGAGTCGCCGTTTGTTATCGCGTTGTATAACGTTTTCTGTTTCCGTGATGTCCTCGTCCTCGCACGACGCGGACGTGAAAGCAATTTCTTTTTTTTTTTCACGTGTGCTCGTTCCATCGCTATTCCGAGGAACTTTCGAGTAGTCTTACTGAGTAAAACAGACATGCTCAAACTTGTGAGCATTAATGTGTAGTAATCGAATTAATTCGTCGTAACGTGTTGTAATGTGTTCCGCAACACTTATTAGATAGAGTGAAAGGTTTTATTTTCGCAATTTTATTTTAACAGTTTTTATTCTAGTTGATTTGATCGATAATCTTACTTGTACACAACTTTTGCAAATTCTAATCTTCAAATTCGAACCCAAGAAACAACCAAGTCAAGAGAAAGTCAAAATGATTATTTTGACATCATGAAAGTTTCTTTATATAGAAGTTTTTCTTTATATAGAAGATGATCAAAATGATAATTTTTTTGTTACAAAACTTGACAGTTTATTAACGTTGAGAATATAAAATCATTTTGATATTTTAATTTTTATATGTTCCTTATCCTCTAAATTTCTCTTGGAATAAAATCTCATTTCGAAAGAGTTAAAATACTGTTACAATTGAAAAATTTGCACTCTTGAATAAAAATGGCAGATTCTTACTCTTTTTTTTGGAGTGAGATTCATTCCAAACGAAAGAAATCTCACTCCAAAAGTATAAAATTTCTCCTAAAAAAAAACAATGAAAATCTGCCACTCTTATTCAAGAAGGCAAATTTTTCACTTACTTTGAATAGTGGCAGTATTTTTACTTTTTTTGGAGTGAGATTTCAAGAAATTTAGAGAGTCGTTTCTTAACTATTTGTAACACTGTATTAGCTGTATTGGCTGTTTAAAGAGAATAACAAGATGTGACGTTTCGATCGAATGGGATGAAGTATCAAAATTTTGGTGAAAGGGAATTTTTCAATGCTTCTCTATGCTCTTCTGGAGCAATCTGCAGTACTTTGTAGTCGCCTGGCTGATAACACCCGTCGCGTTACTTTCAAAAGCACACAAAGAATTTCCAATAGCGTTGCGCGAGGAAAATAGCGGCGCGCTCGTAACTTCCGACAGGAGAGAACGTCGGTCTATATCCTTTATGCCTCTTTCATTTTTTTTCTTTTGTTCACAAGCCGCCTTCGAATATAGAAAATTTTAAATATGATTTGTTGCCTACAGTCCGCTTTGACGGCAATAAAATAAAAATTGAAATTGAAAGTGCCTTTTTCTATTTCTATATCGCTCACTATAGCTTTCCTCCACTTTATTTCGAAGACTTCATGTAATATTAAAGAGATGAAATATATATACGTAATAAATCGATATATAAGGAATATTATTTCAATTATATTTTCCAACTACATTGAAATTTGCTATTTACATATATTGAAATTTGATATTTACATATTTTCTCTCAAAATATAAAAAGAAGGCCAAACAAATTTTCTTAATATTTTAGTGACTTAAATTTAATAACTTTCCCAAACTTTCGCAAATTTTAAAAGATTTTGTTGACTTTGCATCTGATAAGAAATGTCTGATGCAAAAATTTATGCATACAAATTTCTATGCATACATACACGGTTTGAAACAAAGATTGTTGATTTTTTTAAACTATTGGTGGTGATGCGATGTTACAGAAAACATTACGATATTTTTGGAAAAAAAGGGACTCGATCGAATGAGAGAATTTCTCTGGCGTTTTGTCCCGTGGGAGAAAGTGTCCGCAGAAATCCATGGGTCGTCGTCGTTGGTTTCGGTGCAACGTCGACCGAGGCCAGTAGTCGGTAGTGATTTTTATCTCGTGGAAAAGTTTTCTTTTTCTCGCGCGTACTTTGTATGCACTTTGGTTTCCGTCACAGGGATTACGTGACGATAAAATAAGATAGTTCACACGCTCTACAAAAAATATGTCGTATTTGAATGCAACACCTTGTGGGAATCACAATTGTTATTTCGATTAAAATATGTGGAATGGAGATAAAACTCAAATTGTTTTAAGTAATTTTATTTATTTGTTTATTATATTCACATTCTGTGTTATTTATGTGTACTATTAATTCAAATATAACATGCAAATTGTTGTTACAAAAAAAGAACATTAGTACAGTGTTTTGAAAAAACACCACGCGTGAGATAGTATAAAGTCTTTTTTTCTCTCTTTGTCATTTAGATTTTGTTTTTTCAAGAAATGCGATTTATTCCACAATTTATATTATTTGAACTTGTAATAATGTTATCTTGGAATTTATTTTTGCTTTTCTCTCTTCTCTTTTGTTTCTATTATAGTGGAATAATATATTTTTTAAACAGCGGAATATATAAGTTCTCAAAATTTCTGGTATTATATTTAGAATAGCGAAACTGATGTCTCTCTCTTGACAGGCGACTGCTCCACATTATTAAGCTGTCGATCATTTAAATATATCGAAATATGCAAAATAATGTATAAGATACAGTCGTGATTAAAAATATTAAGCACTTTAATATTTACAATTTTAATTTAAAAATTGATTTATGTAACATTTGCTGTTATAAATTATCCTTTGTTTTAAAAACTTTTTAAATTTATGTATAATGCCTGTAATAGATAGCAAAATAGATAAAAAAAATTCCAGATAAATATAGATACCTAATATTTTTGGTTATGGTTGTATGTCTGGAGTATAATTGTATCTATTTTAATTAATTCAAGATTAAACGATATATATTGCATTATTTTTTTAAAATCTCTTTTCTATATTTAAAAAAAATTCTGTATCTTTTTAATTAGTTTTTTTTTTATTTAGGTTTCTCGCCTATATTTATTTGAAATCCGGTTCTGACAACCAAACATCCGTTATAATTTTCATTACAGT